CACTGCTCCAGTGTCAAAGTTGCTGGAAACGATCGGCTTTCAATTCCTTTGTCGCACGCGTGCACTATTGTCTCGCTGTGTGTGTGTGTGTGTGTGTGTGTGTGTGTGTGTGTGTGTGTGTGTGTGTGTGTGTGTGTGTGTGAGTCGCATATAGCTACTTTACCTTTACAAGGCCAACATCGAAAGCAAAAAACAAAAAACTATGAAAATTTTCAATTCGCTGCGAACAATAAACAAAACTCGCTAACGAATAACAACCGCTTGTTGCAGAGCGCGTACGCGTTGCCGCTTTACTCTTTTCCTCTGGCGTACAATAATATATATCGACTTTTCCAGTCGCAAGCTCAGCTCTGCGAGCTCGAAAGTATATAGATTCTGGCGTAAAGTAAAGCTCGCTAGTTGCGCCGCTGCCGAGATATTATAGTCGGACTGCGTGCTCGAGTTGGCTGTATAGCCTCTCTCTTTCCCCGTGTATTTGTGTGCGAGCTTGCGCGCGCGTGTACATGTGAAAAGAGAAAAGCAGAGAGTGGCACGAGCGGTTTTGGTCCACGAGCAGCTGTGTATGTGCTTGGCTACACTTTTACCCCACGAGCAAATAGGTATAGATATATATAGGCAAAAAGCAAAGCTTCTACGACTGCTGCGAGTGCGAGACTTATATATATATTATATATAGCTCGTATCCCGAGCTTTGGCTTTATATTTAGTTCTTATAGCTATAAGGATCCAGGCTCACGCGCAGCCGCCTGCCGCCTTGCCGGTGACGATAAAAGTATTATATATATAATTTCGGGGATGAAAATTTCATTTTGCCGTCTGCGTGAGTCATGCGGCCGTCCTTTGTGTATTCGGGTTGAGCCCTAGCGATGATCCAAACGGTCTCGGTAACGTATTTATTTTTCTTTTACTTTTCCTCGCGGTGACACAGAAAACTGAAAAAGGACGACCATATTGTAGCTATATGGATATTCGTGCATTCTTCGGCCAGAGACTCCACTATACACGACGGGCTATTCTCTGGCTCTTTCTTCCTTTGTATGGCAATAAACACCAGCGCCGAGCGAAGCAAGTGGCTGCCTCAGCATCTTTATGATATGCAAGCTGTATACATAACTGTTTCGATTCAACTCGCTGCTGCTGCTGCTTGCATCTTTTCGTTCCAGCGCTTCTTCTTTCGGCATTCCCGGCGTTTCCCTTCTTCATAACTGGCCGCATAACTGCGCACAAACAAGCTCGCTGCCGGAGAGGATCGTTCCTACTTTGCCTCGCTAAAGGCTGCCGCTGCAGCCTCTTTCTCACTCTCGACGCCGTCGTCGTCCCTTTTCTTTGCTTCCTTGATGAAAATTCCAAGCTCGCGTGTATATACGTATACCTACGCAGAGCTTACACGACAGACGAGGAGCGAGGCAGAGAGGACTGTTTGCCAATCTCACACTCGAGGCGAAAGCATGCACGGCCGACTACTTTTTTGCGGACGAAATGAAGTTGATTTTTGCGGAGGAGGAGGAGTTCCGAGAAGAAAACGAGCTGCGACACTTTTCGAATGACAAAACGGGCGTTAACGGCTCATATTTTTAATATACAATCTTGGAATTGAAATTCTCTTACTGGGGTAAAAGTCGATGTCGGAATAAAAACTTTGGAAAACTCGATAATCTGGCGGGCTTGAAAAGTGTACTTTTGGCGCAAGTTTGCGCCGAGGAAAAGCAGAAGATACATACTGCGACTTCACTTAGCAATGCCACGCGTCTATACTGTGTGTAGAGGAGCAGAAGAAGCAGCAGCAAAATTGCAGTAAAGTAAAGTAACAAGAACACTTTGAAAGCTGATGGCGTACTACATGCCCTCACTCGAAATGTACCATCGAAGAGCAAGAAAAAAAAAAATAAAAAGAAGTACATATCGAACTTTGGGAGAAATTTTTAACGCCCAGCATACGACTCGTCGTGGGTTTATCTTTTCTCGCTCGAGCTTATACATTATTATACGGGATACACACATACGCTTTGTATATAATAACTCGGGCAAGTATATCTACGTGGCACAGGAGCTGCTGCGCGCGAGGCAGTGGCATCGGCAGCGCAGCATATAGACGAGAGTTTTGGGAGCGAAACGCGCGGCGGGCGCAACTGTGTATAGCAGCAACGTCGGCTGATTTTATCGCTTATAACGCGAGCTTCGTTGCGTATGCGCATCGCTCCACTACTACACAGATATATCGCCTCTCGACTCGCGAGCACATTTGGCTTCGTGCCTGATCGAGCTTGTATCGGCGTCAATAAACCTGTCAATTTAAAATATATTATTCCAAGCAATATAATATCCATGCTCGATGGCCGATGCATATATCTATAAGGTATACCTCGTACACGTACGATCGAGTGGCAATTCGTTGATAAAGCTTTTCGGGCACGCGTGTGTCGTTATGGGCGAGCTCGCTCGCGGAGTCGAAAATATTATTTGCAGTATGAATATAGTTTGTCTGCGCGGCACTCGATGTATGGGGCGCGAAAATAAGCTCATTAAGAGATAGCTTCGAATCGGAGCTGGAAGCAGCAGCAGCTATCTGTATAGGCGCACAATAAAGCTCGCAGCTAGTGCAAAGCGCGCACGCATAAAGTTAATTAACTTTGAGCCACTCGATGAGATTTTCCGTCGTGCGCGACGCAACTTTCAAAGCCACACCACGACTGCCGCTGGCTCGTGAGAGCAGCAACCAGTACAGTTACGTGCGTGGTGCAACCGCCTGTATGATGCGTAATTACAAGAGGTGAGCGCACAGCTGACACAGGGAGGACAGCTCCGTGACTCTCTCCGGAGATACGACTGACTTTGTTGTTTCAATCGATTGCACGAAAATGCCTCGCGGCAGCCACGAGCTTCGCTAAACTTCGTTTTGGATTGGATCGAGGTACCGATACTCGCGATTAATGGTCAGGGCGGATGGTATTGAGACACTCGCTCTCGTCTACGCGAGCAGACGCATTATTTAATACTGTGCAAGTATGCACTGCAATGTGTAGAGACAACGGATGTGCAGCAGAGCTAGGAGGGGTAGTAGAAGCTACTTCAAGTTTGAGAAACTTGAACTATAGCTTCCACTTTCGCGGCTCAATGTGTGTGCGTATAAGTTAAGGCGCTCGTGCGGTGGATATATGCCGCGGGACTACATACATCCTCGCTCGCCACCTTCTATACACAGAGCTGGTTTTGGGGAGCTATAAATTAGATGCATACCTACTTTGCCGCACATAGTATACATATACCGAGGCGTGTACGTACAGCCCACGGCAGCCGTAGCACGAGTTTCGAAGTAAGAGTTATACACCATTCGTCTTGCTCATTGCGCTCGGGCTTTATTTAATAATTTGGCAAAAATATTGGAATTTATACACAGACTGCCTGTACCAACGATTAGTTGTTCGAGACAAGGCTAAATTTGATTTATCGTGCGGGACGATAAAGCTTCGTGCAGTGCAATGCTTCCCGCGGGTCCTCCGAGCTTGCATGTGTGTGTACGTGTATAAAAAGAGAACGAAACTTCCACAGTGATTCGTCCATCGATCGATCAGTCGACGCGACGTATAAAAACGATTTAGAAAAAAAGATTATAGAGCTAGCTTCGGGTTCTTGCTTTTTTTTGCGCGCCGATTCGCGTGCACGGCCCGTCGAGAGGCTTTCAATGATCAATCACTTCTTTTTTTCCACGCTGTAACGAGCAGATGTAAAAAGATGTAAAAAGATTTTTTACGCGCGTGCTCGAGAATAATACGCGCGCGCGCGTGTACAAAAATAGCCGAAGCATATTTTTAACAGTTATTTTACAGGACGAAACGACGGAGATATCCTGAAAAATATAAGCGCATATCTATGCTTTGAATGCTCTTGCGGACAAAAAATCTCAGACAGGTTTAATAAAAATTTCATTTTACTCTTGAACGCGAGCTTCCTGGGCACAATAGAGAGAATATTTACAAACCATGTAATTTAGAAATAGTAAAAACGCTTCTTGTCACATTTTTCGAATTGTTTTCTTTCAATGCGAGTTTAATTCGTTTTAATGAAACGTCCTCGCCTCCGTACATATACAGACTTTTGTTACAATATAATGGGTTCAAGGGATTTGCGCGTGAGTCGAACATCTTTTTTTGTAGTCATTGAATAAAGGGTTATATGCACTTTATAGATGCTCGCATACTTGTTTTTTAAATGTTAATTGATAAATATTTTTTTCCCAAACAAAGAAAATCATATAAAGAGGAAAAGGAGAAAGAGAAAGAGAGGGCTTGCAATCGATACTCCACCGTCAAAGATCCAATCGACTATCTGTAGTTTACGTTTTACATTTAAAAGGCATCCAACATCGTTATCGTCATGTATCGAACTGCTCGTCGGGGCCAATTATCTTCCGTATCTGCATATAATCTAATGATGTCTACGACTGGCAACGTCGGTACTTGGAGTGCTAGTTGCGAGCACGGATAAACAGCTCTACACGGCAATAAATACATTATACATGTATTATGGGCCGGTGGCCTTTCAAACGATTTGATCGGCTTTTACGCTCTCGCGATAATGTTTCGTTTTTTTTCTGCGTTTTTATTGTACCTTGTTATTATGATCATTACAACGGCGAACAGCACACGAGCCCACCGAAATGAATGCGCCGTTGCGTCTCTCGCGAGTTTGGAATAATTACAAAGTTTTAGCTTGATGATTATAATGCAGGGACTCACGGTTTTGGGAAGTTTGTATAATTGCCATTCGCGTGTCGTTTGCTGAAAAGACAGGAAAACGAGCGATTAACGAATTTCCGTGCACTGCAAGCCCTTTGGATTTGAACACAGTTTCTAAAAAAAAAGTATGGGAGAGTGCTTAAACTCGTTCATTTATTCGAACACATGAAAACAGTGTACAGAAAATTGACTTCCGTAATAAAAATAAAATTACATCTTCACTATTTAAATTAAATATATCAGTTCTATTAAATTAATTTTTCACATAACAAATCATTAATTGTGTCATTAAAAAAAGTTCATGAGGTATTTGTTTAATTATACAAATTCTGTTTGACAGAGCTTATAGTTACTTCATACATAATCACTAATATTGAACATTCGAGCATTACGCAGAACACGATATTTGTGAACACTTAACTTACAATCAGCACTTGTTCTCAAGTAATACTTATTTTTGTGCAGTTCAGCGCACTTAAAATGAGATACCCTAGTAAATCAACGTGCAAACGAAAAATTTTCAACTACTGTGAAATGTGAAAAGTCAGGCACACTATTTAAGGCAACGATTTATAATAACATTTACAACTATTTTACATTTTGATTGTTCGTTTAATTCGCTTCGTTTTCTTCATCGTCTTCTTCATCGTCATCCTCATCATCGTCCTCTTCTTCAACCAATATGCCCGGAGGATACCCTAACGCCAGAGCTTCTTCCTTCGTTGTCTCACATAAATATGGGGCTAAAGATAAAATTTGATACTGACTCAAACAATCTACTACCCATTCAAATGAAACTATCGCACTATTACACTTTTTCAGAGTTGATACTTCTACAATCATAAAATAACAACCTTTAAAAAAATAATCGTTTCACGAAAAATAGCTAAATATCATTTATCAACTTACGTTGTTTAGTCAAACTTTCTGATTCGAGTATTATTAATTTTAATCCTTTTTTTATTTTTAAAAGATCTTTTTCTGTGTCTACTACTCGAGCATTATTTGTCATTAATAGATCCTGAAAAAATGTTTCAATTTAAAAATTCAATAATTTTTAGAAGTAAATATTAAATGAAAATACCTTAAAATCTGTTATTGAAAAATTGCTGAAAGGTTCAAAGCAGTACACCGTAAAATCTGAAAATAAATCACGTATCCTCAAACGTGATCTTTTTGCTCCATTATGATTAAGCTCAGGATCCAGCACGTCATACTTTTCGTCATCTTCATCCAAAAGCGTATTCGATTTTAGGCAATCGATTACCCATAAAAAGCTTACAACATATTTTTGGTAAGCAATCCCTTGAATGTACTTGAATGTTTTTTGTCCAGCTTTCGTCTTAGGATCCGTGTGAACTATGACGTGGGTTACATCTGGACTAAATTGACTTTTAAATTCCCCATCGAACTTCCTCGCAAATTCTTGAATTACTTTTATACTTTCAGGCGGTAAACCGCTACATATCAATATCATTTTTTTGTTGCTAGCTTGTAAAGCAGTATTATTTCTAGCATTCGCATTTAATGGAGTACTGTGACACAGAGGATGTATTTTTCCAGTTCTTAGAGGTGTTATTGTCGGCGGTATTAAACTCGGTCCGAGATCCTGGGATGTCAAGTCAGGCATGTCAAGCTGAGACTTATAATCAAGCATAGGTCTACTGATAAAAGATGATAAAAGTTATGATATTATTAAAAATTCAAACTTAAATTATAAGATCTGTTAATAAAAATTTTACCGTCTTTTAACCACAGGTGTGGCGCCAATGTTTTCAGAATCGTATTCTTCTTCTTCATGATTGCTTAAATGTACCTGTGAATTTGTGCAATATTTTAAATATTATAATTTTAATGAAAACAATAGATATTTTGTAAGCTGCAAGAATTACCTTTTTAGGAGTCATAAACTTTTCTTTTTCTACATTTTCGTCTACATGTTTTCTATCTGTATTTACTACAGGCTCACAATCCATCAGTTCCTTTTCTAATTCTCTTAGAGCTATTTGTTCTGCTGTAATGTTAATCAAACTATCTGGTAGATTAAATGCACTTTCAACAAATTTTGTTGTTTTATTATTATCTTCAAGTATATCTGTTTTATTGTTTATATTTTCAGAATTTTTTTCCGGGGTTATATGAACAAGCTTTGGATTATTTCTCATTTTTTCATTTTCTTTATTAGAGTCATTTGAGCAGGTTGTTAGATTCATTTTTTTTCGTTTACTCTTATAAAGATCAATCGCTGTGTTTTCAATTTCAGAGTTACTGGTATTCATTATACTATGTTCAACTTCATTTGCGTTTAATGCATCAATTTCCTTATGATTACCATTTTTAGATGGTTTAGAATAACTGTTTTCAATAGTTTGCACATCATTTGTTTCAAATAGATCAGCTGACATCAATGAGCTTGGCATATGGTTTATTTTGCAAGACTCAGCATCATTGTCCTTAAATTTTTTTACTTTGTTGATTATATCATCTATAGGAGGATCTTCTTCCAATGTGTTCTGAGATGCTTGTTCATTTGTTTTAGATACTAATGTTTTATCTTTATTGGAAACATTAAAACCACTAGAACGCCTAGAATTTTTCTTCTTTTCAATTTGACTAGAATCTATAAAGTCAGGTGTACTTTTTGGTATTTTGGTCAATGGTTCATCTGTCCATTTATGAATGATTGATACAACATCCTCTTCTATAGATGACTCAGAATAGGACCTTTTTTTTCTCAAAGGAGAACTTGCTTCTGAACCAGATGTAGTGGATAAAGTTTTCATTTTTATTAGTTTTTTTTTATTAGCTCTCTTGAGGGAAGGTGCACAAATAGATGATCCACTATCTGACTCAATTTCAGCTTGATTTTTCTCTTTATTTTTCAAGTCCTTATTGGTAGTTATATTATTAGTTTTCATTACTGATTTGGTATTATCAATTTTGATAATAGTGTTATTATCAGCAGGTTCATTATCAATAGATGATTCACTGTCTGACTCAATTCTAGCTTTACTTTTTTTTCTAATTTCAAATTCATTGTTAGTACTTTTACCATTAATTTGGTTTAAGGACTTATTATTATCAACTTGACCAATATTTTTATGGGTACATGCAGCATAAATAGATGATCCACTGTCTGATTCAACTTCCGCTTCGTTTTCCTTTCTATTTTTGGAAGCCTCTTCACTTTTTTGTATACTTTTATTGTTAGCTGTTTTCATGGATTCATAACATTTGGCTACATTATCAGCTGCTTTTACAGGAGATGTATTTTGAATCAGGGAACTGCTATCTGATTCAACTTCAACATCATTTTTCTCTTCATTTCTATTGTCATTTTTGGTACTTTCACCGTTAGCTTTTTGTATACATTCTTCAATATTTTTTTTACTTTTTAAATGAGATCCACTCGCATTAATAAGTTCAGAATGATTTTCCAATTTATCTTTTTGTACTGGCACTTCAATATTATTAAAACTAGCTAAAACAAGCTCAACTATTTTTTCTTTGGGTTTAGTTCTACCTAAGTATAGAAATGGAATATTTTTCTTTTTCTTTACAATTTTTCCCAACTTTTTAAATGGTACCAATAGAGACCGATTTGTATTTGAAGTTAGAGGTTTGAGTAAATTTGTCGTTACACTAGTAGTTTTTGATTGAACTTTATTATGCTCAATATTATTTGCAGATTCTTTTGGTGGCGAAACAGTTACTTGATGAGGAGGTTCTACTTTTGAACGTTTTGAACTTTTCAATTTTAACTTTAACGACAATTTTGATCTTCTATAATTTGAATTAGAGTCGTCTGACTGTATACTTCTACAATCATCATCATCTTTTGTCTTGAGAGGAGTTAAAATTCCGAGTTTATTTGTACTTCGAACATTTGACAAGCTAGTTCTGGCCTGTTCAGGTGTATCAAGAGCATTCTGCATTGTTGAAGCATCAATAATTTCATTTATATTATCTGGATTATTGCAATCATCAACTTTATCTTTTTCATTATCTTTTGATGAATTTTGAAAGCTTCTAGATTGATGTTCATTTTTAGATCTTCTTTTTTTAACATATTTTTCATCTGGTACAGTATTTTCATCAAGATTTGATGAAGAAACATTTCTTTCAATACTAACACTAAGAGATTTAAATGTTTTAACTTGCATTTCTTTCCCAACACGCTTTACTCTACGCCAATCATTAACATCTGAATGGGATGCTGCAGGAACAGATGGAGGTGTTTTAGCAGTTGATTTATCCCCTGACAAATTTTGATTTACTTTTTTCCTTCTTGCATTCATTTCTGCTTGCTCTATTTGTTTTTGAGTATTTGAAAATTTTGATTCTTCACCCTTATTGGAGTCTTCAGTTTCTTTATCAACAATATCACAAATATTTACAGTTTGCACTAACTGATCAGTTGTCAGTTGATCATTTGTTTCTTCTACATTCTTCTCAGCTAGATTCTGCACTTCAGTTGAATCACTCGCAAGTGGAGTACAACTTTCAAGCCATTGTGTTACTTTTTCGTTATACTGTACTTCAGATTCATGCTCAGATTTATTAGTTAAATACTTATCAAGAGTATTTGTATCAACAGGTGTTTTTCTTCCTGTATCTGACTTTCTTCGTAAAGACAACTTTTTGGAAACTGATGGAGTAGCTTTCACTGATTGAGAAGATTTAGATCTAATTGTATTTGAGTTATTGCCTTTTAGTGAAAATAATTCATTGGCAATCGAAGCTGTTTCAAAATCTTTTTTATTTTCAAGATTTTTATTCTTTTTTGTAGGCTGCTTTAAGTTGGAATAATCAAAAACTAAAAGAATATAAAATATATTAAAAAAATTTTAAAATGATTCTACCGAGTAATTAGAAAAAAAATTTTTCATTTTTGCTCACCATCAATACCAGAATCATTTTTAATAGCCTCGACCAAGTCTTGAAAATTATCAACAATTGATTGTACCAATTTGTTTCCTTGCTTGGGTATAGATCTTTTTTGAATATTAATGTTACAAAATGGGCAGGTTGCATGCTCGTTTGTAGCAACTTTAAAAATGCAGCCACGACAAAATTTGTGACCACATCTTATAGTTACAGGTTCTTTGAAATATTCCAAACTAAAAGTTTAAACAAAAAAATTAAAACAAAATATAATCGCCAAAACAAAAAGATAAAAGATATTCAAATGTCTCGTGTTCGCATTGGTCTTTGACGCGTAATAATCTCGAATTATTACGAGTGGTATAATTTTAAAATGACATTTCTCGAGGAGCTCCAAAAACTCATTATCTTATCAGAGACATGAGCAAATTATGCAGCCGAACGTCAAATAAACATAACCTCGTGGCGACACAACAACAGATCGACAAGAAGCAACAAGTCTCGGCTCGCTTGTATATATTGAGCTTGCTTACCATATTCCGCATACCAAGGATTCTTTGATTGATTTACACGATCTCACAATCTTCTCTATACACAAATACGATTCTGCGACTTCGTCCATCCTTTAGTCCATCCTCGAGGGTGATCTTTTCACTAACAGAACCAGAGATATTTGTCAACAATTGAAGGACGGACGGTGCACACTGCACACATGAGCAGCAGTAAAACATGAATGACACGCTACGCGCCAAAAATGTTTACCCCCGTCATGGCGACGTCCAGCTGACAGATCAGCAGCATTACATTGCGTTACGACTTTTCTCGGATCAAACACAAACGGTATACTTTTTATTTTTTAAATATTTCATTATCATTATTTGGGGATGTATATTGTTGGTTTTATTATGAAAACTTTTCGGGAAAAAATAAACGAATGACTTGGATAGATCGTCGTTTTTAAAATCGTTTTATTTTTCATATAAAAACTATAACAAATACATACTGAATAAAAATTATGAATTAGTTCACATTCCGCACCAACTACAAAGTTTTGATTACTCCAATACTTAGCTTGAATCATTTACCACAATTTCTTTACAAAAAAATATTTTCGGCGGGTCACACAATTCATCAATTTCTCCTTTACATTATATGATGCAATACCAGAATCGGATTTTAAGAATGAATAATTTTTACGAATATAATTACATTTTTCTCTGAAACAATTTAGTTCATTAAAAATAAAATATTTCTACAGTAGTGTACATATATCAGCTAATTTTTTTTGAATATTTACATGAAACAGAGTGTGTTAATAATTATTACAACGTGCAAATCACGTCGATTTTTAACAATAATCGAAATTTTTATAATAACATATGCCTTAAAAAAATTAACAAATAAAATGCCACGTTATCTCTATGAATCTACGAAATGAACATCTTTGTTTAATCGATAATTTGAAGCATTAACTCTTGATGTTTAAACGAATTGAATTTGAAAAATGTTGGGGTTTTTTTAGAAGCGATCGAAGAATCTTAGAATCAACGGCATTAAATTAAGCTACTTGAATGATAAGTCAATACATGATATTGTTCAAATGATTAGATGATAACATTACAATGATACTAAAACTGGTACACGTTTATTTGGTAACCGTTATTGAAGCACATGTAAACTGCATTATGCTAATTATTGGATCTTCTAGACGCGACATTCTAGTCAAATAAGATGAATAAAATAAAAACACGTTGGAAAAATGTTAATTACTTCCCATACGGCTATAAAAGGTATATCAAGTGCTCGGATACATGTGTGCTGTTTTCTCGAAAATTGTCACGATTGGAAAAAATTTCGAGGCAATATTACAGGTTCGATCGAAGATTTTCTCAAATCGAGCAAACAATTTTGCACTGCTATCGAGGGATATTTATTCTTTTGTTTTTCACCAGTATATCGGGCTATACTCGGGGGGGAGCACGAGTATCGACTCCGCATCGGAATTATTATTATTTTACACGTGTAGCGTGGCTATTTATTATATACAGTATCGTTTTTCGATCGTAATGTTTAGCGGCGCGAGCTCGGGCTACACAGGGGGGCAATCGTTACGCGAGCAAAGGTCCATTTACTCGTGGTATACGGCTGCGCATTATCGACAAGTCGCAATATCGTCGGAAAAGAGAAGACGGGAGGGACATTCAAGAGGTCTCGCTCTTCCTCGCAATCTCCTGGAAGAAGGCTTCGATCGGCAGAGTCGGCTCGTCGGTGGTGATCTTCAAGTGGGCCGATATCATGCGGCTCTCGCCGGTCGGCGAGACGGCCTTGAACATGCCGGGCTTGTCGTAGAGGGCCGAGGCGGAGCTCGTCAAGTCGGCGACGCTCTGCGAGGCCTTGCGGAACAGCTCCTCCTCCTGCTTCAGATCGAAGTGCGCGATCGTGGAGGCCTCGTAGCGCTGCTGCTCCTGCTCCAAGGCCGTCGTCTCCTGGGCACCGAAGCTCGAGGCCTTGGAGTTGCCGTCCTCGTCCATGGAGACGTCGCTGAGATCGATCTGCTGCGAGTCCTTGGCCGACTCGGATATCTCGTTGGCGACCTCCATGGTCGGGGCTGCCAAGGTCGAGGTGGACGTCGCGAAGAAGCCCGTCTCCTGAGCCGACTGCAGCTCGGTGGACTTGGTCGTTGCCGCGGCGGTGAGCTTGTGTCTGCTCTTGAGCGTCGGCCTCTTGCGGATCGACGAGGAGAACACGTTCTCCGGCCTGACGGTGCTCTGGCTTCCGGCCGCGTCCGGCTGCTGATTGCTCATCGGGGTCGTGCTCGACACGCGGCTGCGGTAATAGTGGCCGCTGTTGTTGACTCGTTTCTTCGGTGAATACCTGACGGATGATCGGTCGGTCGTCGTGACGTAGGACTCGTTGTCGACCTGCTGCTGCCGACTCGCGGACGCCGCGGTCGTCGTGGAGGTCCTCTGGTAGGCGGTGCGGCCGGGATTGTGCTTGATCTTGGCCTCCTTGAAGTTGGGATCGGCGGGAGCTTGGCTCTTGTGGCCGCGCTGGATCTTGCTGGGGCTGCTGCTCGTCGCCGTCGCGGGGCTCTCCGTCGTCGACGACTTGGACGTCAGGCGATTCTTGTACTCCATGCGGCTCTTGTAGTCCTTGACGCTGAAGCGGGGACGAGTCGCGTTGCCGTGGCGCGACCCTGCACGGGCGCGGGTCACTTTCGGCACGCTCGAGACGGTCGAGCGCGAGATGTTAATGGGCGCCTCGCTCGTGCTCGTGCTCGTCGTCGTGCTCGTCGTCGTCGTTATGGTTGTAGGTGGAAGCGGAGTCGTTGTCGATGGCGTCGTTGCTTCGATGAAATTTTCCTGCAACACAATTTACGAGTCAATTTTGTTCTCACGCGCACGTTGATATTTCATATTCGAGTCGAGTCGAACCTACCTCAGTTTTGGCAAATGCGTGCTCGATCGACGCCACGATGTCCTCCTCTTGACTCTTGCTGTAATGCTGTCGGTGATCCTCGTTGCTCGGCTCGTAATACTCCACGTTGGCCGAGGTGATCGAGCCTACGGTCGTTTCGGGCAGGTACTCGATCGTCATGGCTTCGGTCGTCGTCTCCTGGGCTGCTTCGGCGCTCGACGGCTTGTCGGTGGTGAAATACTCGGCCGAATAGATTTCCTTGAGGAAAGCTTCGGGATAATTTTCTGTCGGCGAGATCCTCTCGCGCTCCTTGGAGTAGTCTCGCTCTTTACTGTAGTTGACGCGCTGGCCAGTGGGTCGTTGTTTTCTGTAAATGACGCACTCAATCGTAAACAGTTCAATTTTTATTTCAGAGAATTTTAGCTTACCGCCTTCTGTTATTGTCTTGACTATTTTCATTGACCGGTCGAGGTCGTTTCTTCTTCTCAAAGTCCTGAGTCTCGGGCGTGTTGTACTTGGAAACGTCCTCGTAGTACTCCTGCGAGAAAGAACCGCTTGGCTCCTGGGTGGTGGAGGTCGTCGAGGGTCGTCGCCGCCTCAGAGACGCCCCGGGCCGGCGAGTTCTCGGGGCCTTCCTCTCGGTCGTCGTCGCTTGGATCGTCACCGTCGTCGTTTCCGGCGCGCGAGTCGTCGTTTGAATCGGCACGTCGGTCAGCAGTACCTCCTGAGGCAGAGTCTCGTAGCTCGCGTTGGGCGCCTCGGTCTGCGACGAAGGCTCGTAAGCCAGCGTCGACGGTTTGCGTCTCTTCGTCTGTTCCCTACCAGCGTAAGGACGCCTCGGCTTGTAAGGCCCGACCGCCGGTTGAAAATCTTCCTGGGTCGTCGAGGGCGTGACGCCGCTCGAGGGTGTGACGTTCTCCTCGTAATGCTGCGCGGTCGACGCTTGCTGCTTGTAAGTATTGCTCTCGGTCGAGGGCGACTCGTTGTAGCTCGGCGTCGTCGATACCGTATAGTACTGCTGTTTGTACTGATCCTTCGTTACTTTCTTGGGCGAAGTGTAGTCGACCTGCTGAGGAGTCGGACTGTAATGTGGTCTGTGGGTCACGATTTCTTCTTCTTGGGGCTTGTAATATTCCTTCGTCGTCTTCTTCGGACTCGTGTAATCGAACTGTTGCGGCGTTGGACTGTAGGCCGGTCGGTGAGTTACTACCTGAGGTTCTTGCTGTTTGTAATAATCCTTCGTAACCTTTTTCGGAGTCGAATATTCATGAAGCGATGGCGTTTGACTGTAGAACGGTCGATGGGTCACTATCTCGGCTTCTTGCTGTTTGTATTGCTCTTTGGTGACTTTTTTCGGAGTCGTGTACTCGACCAGATGATGAGGAGTCTGAGCGTACAAAGGTCGATGAGTCACCGGCTCCTTGGCTCTCAGCCTCTCCAAGCGTATCTGCTCTTTGTGCTTCTCCTCGAGCTGTCTGATTTCCTTTTGACGCTTCTCGAGCTCCTCCTGCTGTTTTCTCGCTAAATCTTGCTGACGTTTCTTTTCCTGCTCCCTCAGCCTCTGCCTGTCTTGCTGAATCAACTGCTGCTGGAGCAAAAATTGCTGCTCGTTGAAGTGCTTCAGAGAGATGCTCTCGGGAGTTTCGTATTCGACTTGAGCGGGTTGTTGGTTGATGTTGATGGGTATGATGGCGCCTTGGTACTGCTGCTTCTGCAGTTCCGGCCTCACGTACACTACTCGGTGCTTGTGCTCGGGGGCGTAAGGTGGCTGCGTGGAGCTCATCTGGCTGAACTTGACGGGCTGATTGACCTTGGGAAGAACCTCGTTGATGTCCGGCACGTATCTGGTCTTTTGGAAATCGGAGATGTAGTAGGCGCTGGCCTGGTGATAATCGTGCGGCTGCAGTTTGTCGTCCTTCGGATACTTGACGCTCTGCTGAGAGTGAGCGTACTGTTTGTTCGATTCCACCCTGCTGGGGGCGGCGGTGGTCGTCGTGTAGACGTTGTCGTAGTGATGATACGCCGACGGTCGGAACTTGAAGCTCGACGACGGAGTCGCGTAACTGATCTCGTGGCTCTCGTGGACCAGAAAGCTCGGGTCCCTGTCGTACATGGACTGCTTGTAATGAGTCGGATGGCTGATCTGATTGTAGTATTGACCGTTGAGCACCTGCTGAGGCTGATAGCGTTGATCGAAGGGGGCCTGATGAGCCGAGCCCGACTGAGTCGTCTTGGTATTGTCGACCGTCTGGTAATAGTTCTGCTGCTTCTCGTTCGTGGCTTTCAGGGTCTCGAATTGCTTCGACGGCTGTTTGTAGGACAC